TAATACATGTATAATCTGTATACATTAGTCACATGATTGTGTGCTTGCTTTTATTAGTTATTAGATTTAATCTCACTGAAACAAAAGACTCTGTATGTCAAGTTTATCAAAAACAAGATTGCTTTTTTAGGAAATCTGTTTTTTACTTGTATAAATACATTTACAAAGAAATTCAAATACGATTTATAATATCTGACAGTCAAAATGTTTTCAATCTGCATGTCGAACCCATATAGCGTTCGTGCAATCTCCAGTGGTTTCATATACATGCAGCTCCCTCTGTTTTGACACATTGACATAATTTGACCTAGCTTCAAACTAACCTCATGCTTTTAAATTGTTACATTTGATTTTGTTCATATGTGTGTGATTGTTTGTCTAGATACATAATAAGAAAAAGATGAAAGTTCATAACTATTCATGATTGAAATGTATCTACATAATCACTGCGTACATACGAGGGGTTATCAAAAAGTTCGTGGACTGAGGCTTTAAAATTAGTACTATGTAGTCTGTGCTTTCAAAATTTATATGGAACATAAAACAACACAGAATAAAGAAATGTTGAAAATTTCAGCCTGATACGTTCATTTTTTACCAAATTATCATAAAATAAAAACGACATTATACGATCACCCGGCGCTGTCGTCGTTTATTTTCATGACGTCCGATAACGTCATTTTTTCCAATGTCCTCTTCTCCTACCTCATACACTTTTTTGATGAGATTCCCTGGAGCTGAGTAAGGACTTCAACCGTTTGTTTGGACATTCCGTGTAAAATTTACAATAAAATTTCATAGGACTTTCAGAATGAAGTGAAAATTTCATATTTTATAGAACAATTGTGTCCCGACGCATACCTGAATTAACGGGTTTTTTGGTTGTCAAATGATCATATCAAAAGAGTTTTTCTCAGTTACACATAGGTCAATAAAACGTCGTTTTTTGAGGTTGCGCCGCCTGGACATACCATTGCTTACAAAAACATTACTAATTTATCTAAAAATAAAATTCATGATTTGTGGTTTATTCTTTGGATAGAAAAGATGATGCTAACTAGATATTTCAAAATTCATTGATGTACCTTAAGCGGTTTTAATTTTATGGCGCTAGTCCACGAACTTTTTGATAACCCCTCGTAATTGTATCTAAAAAATTTAAGTCAATAAAGTTCGGAAAGAGGTAAATGCAATCGCTTTTTAATTTACAAAAGAAAAAAGCAGAAAATTTTCAGCGGATTTAAATAATTTAGTCAAATCAAAGAATTAGTTTAAAAGTGTAAATTTCAAAGTATAGGTACCGGGGTATGCTCGGTATAATATATAGGTCCTCTATACACGGAAACATGTAGAAATGAAATATTTGGTCATCTGAAAAAGATTATTGATTAAAGATTTTTTTTTTTCAAAAGAGGCCGTTTAAATCAAATTCTTGTCTAGGCCTTTTTTTTTTATTTAACGGCGTGATATTGGAAATTTCACCTCAAAAATGCTTACACAGAAGTAACATGAAAATATAAATATAAAATAAAACTTTGTTGACAGAATTATTATTAATAATTCAGTGATTTACCAGAATTAAGACTTTCTATTAAATTCAAAACTCAATGTCAAAAAGGACAGGGTAAAATTGTGCCCTACAGTAATGTACAGTAATGTGTACTGTGAAATACTGTTTATATGTACTGTAATGTACAGTATATGTGTGCAGGGAATATTAGTAATGTACTGTGAAGTACAGTAATCTGTACAGCAAAAATCTGTGACATACAGTGGAAAACAGTGACTGCGTACTAGGTAGTATTGTAGAGTACTGTGATGTACAAAGGAAATGTACTGTGAAGTACAGTGATGTGCCAGGAAATGCAGTGATTCTGTACTGTAATGTACTGTGAAGTACAGAGGCAAGTACAGTGATTTACAGTGAAAGTACAGAGTCTATCAAAGATTCTCAGAGAATAATCAGAATGTCAGGGAATTTCAAGTCCAGTAGTGAATCATAATAGACTACTTTTTTTTCTTTATCCTATAGAGCTCGAATCTGACTATGCTGCAACAAAAATTGTGTGAGGGTGGGGGTTTCAGGGTTGCATCCAGACTTTCAATGCCCCCTCCCTAGCGATTTTACAGCGACTGGAATGGCCAATATTTTTCTTTAAAAGAAGAAATATTTGTGGTTGTTTATTAATTCCTTTCCTTAGAGTCATGTTAGGATTATGATATAAACAGTATCTCGATTTCAGCGAAACTTTAAGAAATTAATGTCGTGATATGCAGGGTATTTTGATTCATGTATCATTTAATTTCTATAAAATACTTGATTCTGATTGGATAAAAAATTCTTTTGATAACTGCATCAATAAAATCTAGAGTTCGGTTGCACTAAGCAGCCGGAACTATTTGACAGTCGGTAAAATGTATATTCCCCGCTTCCAGGTTACTTTTTGAAGGAAATAATTAAATACCTTTGCTTTAATAAATATTTTCCTGAATTTCGGAACCTGTCCGTTAGGTTCCTGACTTATTTTCGTTTCATTTTGAATTATCCCCCTTTCCTAAACAAATTAAAATCGTCTGCATGACGACAATACAGTTACGGGAAAGAAGGGAAGAAATCGTTTAATCGACATACTTTTCTTACATGTTTGACTTTGAGATATCTGGTATGAAACAATAGAACTCTGAAAAAATGTTTTATTATGCTACCAAAGCGGGGAAAACCGAAAATCTGTTAAATCGTGGGAAACGAGTGATCGAGAAAAACGACACTGCATGAATTGAGGATGGGATTCTTTAATCTTGAACTATCGGCAGCAGACTCTTTCAGGTATTACAGCATTGACAGGTTATGATAGTATTTATATATTCGGTTTGAAATTCAAATGAAAAGATGCGCAAATGAAATCCAAAATTTCTGTGACGTAGAACTGTTAGGGTATTTGAGTAGCTTCCCTTTACATTTACGAACTTAGATAACTTACCGGGGAAAATATACCCATAGGGGATGACACAACAGGTATTTTTTGTGTTAAAGAACTGTAAATTACTTTGGAGACTGTTGGTAATCACACGACAATATTTGATAACTTTTTTCGTTAGCATGGTTAGAGCCATTTTGAATTTTCAGCAACGTTAACGTTATGGTGATGTATTCGTGCGCACTGTTTTTGATACATAAATTTAATAGAAAATTGAAAGAAACTTTCATTTTATTAATTTAAAATCATAATTAAATGATAAGAAATGAATGTAATAATTTTTCCTTTGATACATCGATCAAAGAAAAAATTATTACATTCATTTCTTAAATCAGAGTTGAAGTTTTCAACATAAAACGTTATTTACGTTTTTTTTAACTTATTTATTTTATATTATGAATTCAATAGTCAGTGAAATATATTTCACGCTAACTAGTTTTTTTAATGTTTTTAAACTCTTCATCACTTTTAGAAATTACACATATAACCACTTGTCACTTATACTTTTTGCTCTATCAGTGATGTATTCTCAGAAGATGTTACAGTAGTCATATTTGACATAAGCCAGAAATTTGTACATTGTATGTCTTTTCGCTTAATCTATAGTGTTTTGTTTTCTTCTGGTTTATAAATATCCTCATTCATTATACTGCTGTCGATGTAATATCGTTAATTTCTTCAACATTGGGAAAAATGCTTTTGGGAAAAGTCTACAATAACTGTATTTAAGTTCTTAACATATTGCAATTCAGGTTCGAATGGGATTCAGTCATTTATTTCATCGGAACAACTTAAGAAAAATTGAACTAAGAGTAATTTTTACCCTACAATTCCTTTGAATATTTTTGATACTTGTCATGATTGGTGAAATAACGGAAAATTTCAGATTAACATATTCATAGGCGACATGTTAGTTTATATAGAGAGAGCTTACATGTACATGTGACCTGCGGATAGGGGATACCTACGCCTCCTAGGCACCCCACCTCGCTTCTGAGAATTTTTTTAGTGGTCTGCATGATGTCATGTTTACAATTTTTTGTGGTTTTTGTTGTTTGTGTGGGCATGTCCTTTTTGGTGATCAATTACTTTACATATTATTCCTTGTCCCTAAACTTAACTTTAATAGTATATCGTGCAGGTTTTTTTTTTCTTTAGTTGTTTGTATATGTCTGCATTTCTGTATTGGAACTTGTATTTACTGTGTATCTCCAATTATCTTCAACTGATTACAGGAGGGTGAATCACCGAAATGGAACATGACATTTCCCCATTTCTCAACCTTTTTCAATATTTTGTGAAATCAATAATCTTTTATTGTGCAGGCAATTATATGCACATGTTTATATAATGTCATATCAGGAAACATAAATATTGTGTTACAAAGTGCATTAAGAAAAAATACTTTTTAAAAGTGTTTAACAAGGAAGATTTTATCATGAAACATACAATTGATTGGTAATAATCGGCACTGGCTAACTGGATATCATTGTTTAAGATTCGCTGAAAAGGTAAGTTGTTTTTCCCCAAGAGAGCAATTTTAACGTAATGTTATGTTATCTTTAACTTGAACAGATTTTTCAGAAAGTTTGAGATTGAGAACGATGTTAATTACATGTACATGTATTACCAGAGTTCTACCTGTAAAGGTGTGCCTATAATGTACAAAATTTCGGGACAACAAAAGCATTTATAGATACGATATGGAGTTAATATTTTGTTTTAGTAAGAGAAAGTGCTTAAAAAGTGTTTGAAGCGTTTGCACTTAAGTTGAGAAGTAAGGAGTTACTCCTTATATCTAGCGAATCCCACTGCGAGGTATGGAGAGTTGTTTCTTTTTTCGGTTGAGGCCTTCCAATCGATGTTCCTTGTCGTTGTAGGTTGATCCTTAGTACTAAACGATCCTGAGTGCTGAGTGCAGGTTTAAATTCTCAGCTCTCCACAGACAATGTTTTACCATAACAATTAAGAGTTGATAGCTAAATTTTTTGGTTAAAAAATAATCAATTTACAACATTTTTACAGGGTATATATTGTTTTCCTTACCAAGCAGCTACACGGATATGAAATTAACAAACCCTCTTCTTGTCTGCCACGTGTATGTTCTTCTTTTGGCCAGAAGAGGTATTTTACTTTAGCACACACTTTTTAACAAACCAAAAGTAAAATATATATCTTCTTTAATTTTATAATATACAGTTTCATACCTATTGATTGACATCGAATGAAATTCTGAATCTGAATGCATCTGAATTAAGTGTATATTATTTCGATAACAGAAAGAATTATTATCAGGATCATTATAATCTAACTCAAAGTTAAGTGTGCTTAACTTTGATTTAGTCATGCATTCACTCTATGAAATTCTACTTAAATTTCAATATTATAAAATATTTTCAAAAGATTTCAATAACTCCAAAAATAATGATGAAATGTTTAAAAAAGAAAAATGAAATTCAGTAATTTGCAAACTGAAGAAAGGGAGAAGAAATATGAATACATGATAACCGATTTTGGTCTATATGTTTTCTGTTATAAACATTTATAATGGTAATGTATGTAGTAATGATAATCATCAATGATGGCAGTATGCCCAAATCGGACCAAATATATAATAGGTCGAGTTCTCAATTAGCAAAAGTGAAAACACATTTTGAATTTATAATATTACAGACACAAACTATTTCGAGCAAAGTCATACATTACTAAGCAATAAATTTAACTTAAATCTCATACATATTTTCAATGATTATTGAAATGAAATTTAGATTTGCAGATGTTAATAAAAATAGATGTGAAAATTACTTTTGATTGTAACTGTGTAAAAACAAAGAGATGTATAACACTGATGTACATATCACCACGTCACAATTTTCTAAAAACAAAAATAAATAGATAAATACATAAAATAAAATGTTTGATTCTATTCAGTAAACTGCTTTGAAACCGAAATCTACTATTGCAAGATTTAAAACAGTACAATAATTCAAAAGAACGATATTGTTTTAGAATATTTTTTTTAATTTAAATTTTATTTTGTTGAATTGTAAGCTCACCTGAGCCGAAGATTTGAGTGAGCTTTTCTGATGGAAATGTCGTCGTTGTCGATGTTTTGACAAAGATTTCAGAAATTAATGTAATATTTTTTTTGATCGGTGCATCAAACAAAAATTTGAACGGAAAAGTTAATCAATATGCTCAATGCATTGATGAAAAAGTTTTTATCCAAATTTTAACCCCAAAGTTACAAAATCAATCGAACTTTCTTTGCATTGATCACCAATGTCCTTTAAAACTTAATATATTGTATAGATCATATAAACAATATAATTTTAATTCTTATACAGAAATATTATCATTCGAGCAAGAATCGTTGGATTGGTTTGGCGCACAAAAGAAATGTAAAGCACAAAATAGTAGTTTACGAACCGAATCTTTTAAACAAATCAATGCCAAAGGAACGTTTAACTTTTGGAGAGGCCTATATACACGAAACTCAGCTTGGATCAAAATTGTTGGTGAGTATATTTAAGACTAAACCTAGAGATTACAAATGAAAAATAAATAAGGTTACTTTAATATTATAACACCAATAGAACTACATGTATATGTACTAGCCCCATAAAATTCAGACCGCTTTAGGTACATCAATATGAATCTTAAAATGTTTAGTAAGCATTCTTTTTTATATTTTATAGAATAACCACAAAGAGTTTTACTTTTTAAATAAATATTGTTTAGTAAGCATTGATATGTCCATGCAGCACGACTTCAAATATTGATATGTTTTTTCAACCTAAGTTATCTGAGGAAAAATCCTCATGTTTGATATACTTTTGAAAGCACAGAGTACATAGTCCCCGAACTTTTTGTTAAATCTCTTAACACTGCAAGAACAAAGCTGCAATAAAAAAGTTTTATATTACACAGACAATACAAAATTTAATGATTTGGTGTTTGAGGGTCATTCATTCCATTTTCATCTTCTCATGAACAAAAATTTTTAGCTCGACTCTATAATATACTGAACAAATAAAGAAAGGTATAGTAGAAATACTTTATTTTCAATTGATTAAAATTTATAGAATCTAAAACATTATTGGGTTATAATAACAAGATACAACTGTCAGACAATGTTCTTTTTAATAAGGTCATTTTAATACACACATTTGCCTAGAACAGTTCTCCGATCTACCCTGGGGGTTTAATTGCATTTCACAAGTCAGTACCGTGTGTGACCACCGCCTGCATTCAGTACTGCGACACATCTGCGACGCATAGAGGATACATATCGTCGGATTACGTGTCCCGGGATATTATTCCACTCCTCTTCCAGTGCTGTGGCCAGTTGCAAGAGACTCTGTGGCTGGGGTCTGCGTATCTATCCTTACTCACCTACCCAACTCATCCAAAACATGTTCAATTTGCGAGAGATCCGGAGATTTTGAGGACCAGTCAAGAACATTCACGTTGTTTTGAGTCAGGAAATCTCTGGTTGTTCGAGCTGTTGCGTTGTCCTGCTGGAATGTTAAACCAGGACCAGTGCGAAGGTACGGCAGTACAACTGGAGAAAGAATTTCATCTCTGTATGTTTGAGCTGTCAGCGTACCGTTCACTACAACAAGTCTTGTGCGGTTTCCTCCACAAATTCCTCCCCAAACCATCACACTACCACCCCCGAATCTGTCTACTTCCGTCACACAGCAACCACCAAAACGCTCTCCACGTCTCCTCCAGACACGGGTTCTTCCATCGGCAAATTTCAAACTAAAACGAGACTCATCACTGAAGAGTATTTTTGGACCAGTCTTGCAATCTAAAGCGTCGCGAGGTCTTGTGCTTATCTGTTAGTCCTGTCCCTCTGTACGGTCTACGGGCTCTCAAACTGCAATGCTTCAGTCGGTTTCGCACTGTCTAAGGGCTAATCCTCCTCTCTAAAGCATTGTGCGCAGAATCTACCGCAGTTAAAAATCTGTTTCGAAGATGGAGCAAACGGATTTGACGGTCCTCCCTAAGGGTGGAAACTCTAGGTCTTCCACTGCGGGACCGGTCATTAGTTGATCGGTGGTCTGGAAACGTCTCCAGAGTAGGCTTATTGTCTTCTGAGTTGTTCCGACTGTCGCCGCAATAGCGTTTTGGGACATGCCTGCTTGGAGCATCCCTATGGAACGCTCACGTTTATCTTTGGACAATTGGGGCATTTTAAAAAACGCAGAAACTTGATCAAATTTTAGATTTTCTTTGAGGACTAAAGACAAGGATTTTCTACGCCAAGAATTGTATGGATACACGTGGTCTGATCTTCTAGAGCACGGGCGTTTACTTAGAGTTAAAATGTGTTCCGCTTGAATGATCAGGGTTTTTTCATCACAATTGACTGTTGCTTAGGTCTCATATATAGGAAGTTTTGTTGTAAAAGTCTAAGTAAAACATCTAAACGAATTATTTTTTTAGATATATACCTTTCTTTTTTTGTTCAGTATATAATCAAGACTGGTCTCCAGTAGTACAATCAAGTAAACACCGTTCACGGTAGTTCTGTCGGTAGAGCGCTCGCTCCGTGTTCGGGAGGTCGTGAATTCGACTCTCGGCCGCGACTGAATTAGGTCGATATAAAATGGGAAGCAACTAATCCTTCGCCATGCGCTCAGCACTTCGAAATTAAAGTTGCAGGTCCTTCGGATGAGACCTTTTTAAACCGAGGCCCCGTGTAAGCGGCAGACGTTGGCACGATAAAGATCCTTTACTGCTCAATGGCCCTGAGTGCCGAGTAAAGGTCAAAATTTGATCGGTACCTTCATCGGTATACGGTTACGTCTCCATATAAGTGAAATATTCTCGAGAGGGACGTTAAACAATATACAATCAAACAATCAATCAATGATTTTTTTAAGTTGGCCAGAGGCCAACATACAAAGACAACACTCCGGGCAGGCCTCATAAGTGTAAATCAATATATGCTTCGGGCTGATCCCGGCAGGCATTTATATGAACAAGTGACTATGCCCGGGACTGAACCCAGCAGCAAGATAACAAGTGTAGTATCTACCTTACCACATAAAATAAATAAAAAAAAATACAAAAAACAAACATCTACACTGTAAAGTTTATTCAGTAAATATCAACCTATGTTGTACAACTAACCCGATCAAAATTAATACATGATAGAATTACAACACATATCGTTTCATCCCCTTTTTCAAGATTTTTTCTTTAAAATTATGAATGTAATGAAATGTAAAAACCAAGCCTTTTTTAAAATGTAAGAAATTTTACATTAACATTATCAAAATCCCATAATAGTCTATAGTGTCCAAAATTTGAACGAATGAGTGTCAAGATTATTACTGGGCTTGCAATAACACAAAAACATACAAACAAAACGAACTGTCATGCAACTACAAGCAATATGGGAAAAATGACAAGATCTCTTTGGAAACCTGAGGTAGACAAGGTATTATTATGATCTGAGCACTATCTACTCTACTACACAAAACACTCAACATAACACACAAAACCCTGACACTTCTGTGGAGTTTTGATTTCGTGTCCACTCCTTGTATGACGTTTGCCCTATACTTCAGATGTTGCACTTGGTAAAGGACATGTTTTGGCTGATGTGACACTCTTGTCAACAACCGGTGTGTTCTGTGCTTGTAATGTACTCTGAACTGGGGTGTCCACTCTATCCATGTCTTTGTTACATGTAGCAGACGCACTAGTCTCCAAAAAGTATTTATTTACATAAGGGAACAAACTGGTGGTTCTTGGTATGTCTTCCTTAGCAAATGATTCCCTGCTAAGCCGTAGATGTTTTCATGTTCTCCTATATACACGCCCATCTTCTGTACAAACTTCATAGGAATATAATGGATATCCACTTGGTCTCTTACTTGTGCTTTTGTCCACCACTTCTCGCTCCCGAATGGACGAATTCTTACAGTGTCTGCCGCATGTAATTTCAGCATTTCTTTTGTGCCGTGAATATAGTTCTAGCTTCTTTTCCTTTCCTCTTGTACAGCTTCCTGGAGATCCCACTGGAATAATGAGATTTCTACTGCTTTGTGGATAGTGTGAGTCTAATCCTGGTTCTCCTGACAAACAGTCTTTCTGCAGCTGAAAATCAAATGGTCTCACTTCGTATATTTCTCCAGTCTAAAAGTGCTAAGAAAGGATCTTTTTTCTCAAGAACACATTTGCGCATCAGGGGCTTAGCAATCTTGACTGTGTTTTCTACTTTTCCATTTGACTGCGCGTAACGAGATGATGTTCTGTGCTCAAAGTCGTACTTTTCAGCAAAATCCTGAAATTCTCTACTGTTAAATGTCGGACCATTATCCGATATAATAACATCCGGAATGTCATGATGCGCTATCTGAGCTTTCATCTTTGTGATGACTTCCTTGCCAGTCTTTCCATGTAGTCTGTCTATTTCGAAAAATCTGAGAAATAGTCTACACATATAAGGTAGTCACTTCCGTCAAACTCAAATAAGTCACAATGCAACCAGCTCTTTCCCAGGCTTTCTTTGGGATATCGTGTGAAATCGTGGCTTCTTTAGGCTGGTCAGGCTGACATGAACTACAAATCTCACAGCGCTGTATAAAATTCTCAATGTCACTGTTCATATTAGGCCAATAAACTGTCTCTCGTGCCCTTTTCAGGCATCCTTGTACTCCAATATCCGTTTCATGAACCCTCTCAATAATGTCTCTGCGAACTCTATCAGAAATTACGACTCTCTCCCCTTTAACCCCTTTAAATACTAAGCTGTTCTGGATGACAACTTCATCTCTGAATGGAAAGTACCACTGTAATTTATCTGAAAGTTCCTCCTTGCAATCTGACCATCCAGACTTGATGACATGTTTAAACAACTTCATTGTTTTATCCTGATCAGATGCTTCTTTTATATTTAGGATCTTTGTTTCAGATATTGATATGTAGCTTTTCTGATTAATGTTGAATATGCTTGCTTTCTCCATATCTTCTCCTGATGCTGATAGATAAGCTCCGCTTAGAGTATCTGATACATACATTTCCGCACCTTTCTTGTAAGATATCTCATAATAAAACTTCTGGAGTCTCAATAGCATTCTCTGAAGTCTTCTTGGTGCCATTACGAGACTCTTCCTAGAGATAATTTCAAGACGCTTATGATCTGACTCTATTTTGAAGTGACGACCATAGGTGTAGTTCTAAAAACGTTCAATTCCAAAAGCTACAGCCAGCAATTCTTTTTTCAATTTGCACATAATTGCACTCTGTTTGGGTCAATGCTCTCGAAGCATAAACAACCGGATGTCCGTCCTGCATCAAACATGTCCCTAATCTATTCTGCGATGCAGCATACTGCAGTATTATTGCCGATGCTATGCCAAAGGGCATCCACAACCAACGGTAATGTCCCCAGGGTGTTCCAAATGTGGTTAAGAAACTACTGGTTTTGTCGAGCAGGACATGCCAAAATCCGTTCTTAGCGTCATCCACTGAAAAGATCCTGGCCTTCGCTGAATCTGGTAGAATATCTTCTGTTGTTGGAGTGAGGTAATGATTCCTCTGAAGTGCTGCATTTATGGGTTTAGGATCAATACACAGTCTTATAGCCCCATTTAACTTCCTTGCTATAACCATAGATGATATCCAGTCAGTTGGAGTCGTTACTGGAGAGATAACTCCTAGTTTCTGTAGCCGATCAAGTTCTTTCTTTAGATCCGACTTGAGCGATAGTGGTTCTTTCCTGGTGGGAATCTTTGTTGGTTGCATGGTGGTGTCAATCCTAAGGTGTAACTCTCCTTCGAGCTTTCAAAATCCATCAAATAATGTTGGATACTGTTGTTTCAAATATTCTTTGCCAAGAGGTTCTGTGGTTTCACTATACTTTCCACCAATCTGTGCAAAAAAGTTCTGTTCATTCACATTGATTAGTTTCATCGATTGTATCCCCGATATTCATCACAAACTTAATGCTGTACTTTTTTTCTGTTTCTTGGATTACGAATAGTCAACCTTCTTTTCCCCTGTGGCTTCGTCTCACTCTTGTTGTACATCACTAAGTAAAGTCATATCAGTTTCTGTCAGGTTTTCATGGTCTTTACACAGCTTCTTATACATCGTCTATACTAGATCCACAATCCAACTGAAACTGTACGGTTTGGATATTGATAAGCATTTGAGCTGTAATCTTTATTTTCTTGTTGACGTTGTGTACTTCTTCGAATTCGACGGTGAGAACATATTTTCATACACTGGATGATGAATAGTCATTCAAATCATGTAATGATCGATTATTTGTTTGCATGTGGCCTTCTGCCATGTCGGAACCTTTTCTGCTGCTTAGTGCTCATTTGTTTACACGCACGGGCAAATTTATTCTTGCGTCCGCATGATGAACACTCTTTGCCATAAGCTTGACAATCTGCTTTATCCTTACGGTGTCGTAAACCACAGTACTCACAACTTACTTCTTGTTTGTCTCTTGGACTTTTTTCTGTTTATCCGACACTGTTTTAGATTTCTTTACGAACTGAACTTCTTCTATCGCCAGAAGCTGTGAACTTGACTTCTCACTAGCTCTACAAATGTCAACACAACGTAGTAAGTCTAAGCCTTTCTCTTGTAACAGTTTCATTCTTGTATGATTGTCTCTAATCTCAGGCACAATCCTATCTCGATTCATTTCTTCTTCTAGACAACAGAATCGACAGGTTTTCACAAGCGTGCGTAATGAAGCAACATAGCTGTCAAAAGTTTCATTTAACTCTCTTTCGTTGAACATGTATCGTTCGTATATCACATTCGTCTGACTTTTGCAGAAGTTTTCCAGTACTTATAGTACTTTGATGATATCTTTATGATCTTCATCGTTGTCAAACTTGAGGCCATCGTAAACAGATAATGCCTCTGCACCTAAGCATGTCAAAAAAGTTGCTAAACGCAATTCATTATTCTTATCTTTCAGTCCTGTTGCAATTTCATAGTTCTCCCATACCTATTTAAAATGGCGCTAATTTGTAACTAAGTTGCCTCGAATGTCCAATTTCGCTGAAAACGGAATATTTGTTGGGACATACACTCTCTGCGGGACCGCTGCAACACCTTCTACCTGATTTTCACCATCTCCGTTATTTATGCCGAAGAAGAGGGACAGCATTCACCAAAATATAGGGTGCACGTGTACTTCTGACACCATGTAACGTTTATACAGTAAACATTAACCCACATGTTTCTTGTACAACGAACCCGATCATAATTAATACATGACAGAATAACAGCACATATCGTTACACAAACAAACAAAGAATTGGGGTAGAAGTCTCCAGGAATAGACATAAATGTACGAAGTATTGAGTGGATATGGAAAGTCAACATGTTCAAAATTTCAAATTTATAATTGTTTCAAATAACATTACGTTTAAATTTGTAAAATGTCCATCATAATTTCATTATTAGTCATTTTTATCACTACATGTAAAAAATTATAATTCCCTTATATTATAATTACTGGCATGTATACATTTAATTGCGTCAATATTGCGTTGTTTGCAGACTTGCAAATTGTCAACTTGAACCAAGTGCATTTTACTATTAGCAAATTACAGCGGTTGTGGCAAATTTTAGCTTTTGCAAGTTGCAAGGTTGATATCAGTTTTCAATTCTTTTTCCGCGGTCTCCATCATTCAGTGGAAGAACGTGTTAAAATAAATGATAATTCGGCAGGTGATTCCCCAAATGCAATGTGTTTTTTTTAATGTTTAACACCCCACATGTATACATGTAAGTTACGCATACTTCGAAACTTACCTTAAGCATTACACTCAGGCACTTAAATGAAAGATGCAGTACATACATGGTGACACAATGAAGATGAATCAGGTTCGAAAGTAAATTGAAATTATAGTACAAATCGGGACCTGAAGGATGATTGAGGTACAATATGACACACATTTCCTTTGTGATCGGTCACAACCGCCTTAAAAATGTACATAAGTTCCTTGTCATTATCGATAAGTTATTTCTGTTTGGAAATAATATACGAAAAATTTGTATGAAAAACGTCAGCTATTATTCAACTTGATGATGGATTGTATATAAAGACAAATGCAAGGTCATTATATCAACAATAGAACTTGCAAAGAGATGACAAAACGGTTAATATATTTTTTACTAATTACTACTTGTTTGTAAAAGATTTAAATTGTCCTTGTTTCAAAAAATGTTCTTAAAAAGAGCATGCGTTTGTACATTAAATTATCCCCATTTTTGTGTTCAATGAGCTTTCATGATTTATCTAATGACAATAAATGTTTGGGTTTTGAATGCTTCATTTTCAATCCATTTTTCTAATTGGAATTATTTTAATTATGAAATTTATATGCACATTTTTAACGAGGCCCGATCTAGTTGAAAATTACGAAAACGGAATGATAAAAAATTTTAATTCTTTGAAATATATACTTGTATGTTTTATGCTTAGAAAAATTAGAATAAAATTGTGTTACCTTGCCTTTATTGTAGTGAAATGGGGGCACCGTCAAGATGTGGACGATTTTTCGTGTTTTTATACACAATTACATACTAAAACTTTTCAAAAGACAAAGAAATTTACAAATTAAAAAAAATACATGATGAAATTCTTTGTTTTTCACATATATCATGCAATTTTCATCATTCTTATAAAAAATGAAAAGAAAATTGGAGGTAGCCTTTATTGCAGTGAAAAGGAGACATGTCAAAACACAAAATTTGGATTTATTCTATCCAACTACGTATTTTATAGGTTGCAATGGGTTTACATAACACCAACACACGATTGCAATACTGTATTAGTTTCTAAAAAATAAATAATTCTTACATTATGAAATAATTTTCTCGCAATACTTTATTTTCTTCTAAACACGTGACGTTGTTTTACGTGGAAAAAAGGGGTAGAGGGAGGAAGAAGGGGGGGGGGGGTAAAGGTGACAAAATTGCGAGTTTTACTAATATCATGTAATATATAGAAAAATAAAATATTTTGGGAGTTCAATTTGAATGATTTATAGACTTATTTTATTTTTAAAAAACTGAAGATAATCCATGCATATTTAAGTCCGCAATAAAAAGAGTGTGTATAAACACTTCAACATGTTCAAAGAGAAAGACTAAATTCGTTTACTTTTAGTTGCAGTGTTTTTTTTAAACGCACAATTTGAAATAAAACAGGATAAAATTAATGAATCTGTACGAAAAAATTGATCCCTCAAAATTAACTAGGATCCAAAGTTGTTTATTAATTTAAATATTAAAAAATAATAGAAATGCCAGCTATCAATGCATAGTCTGTAAAGCTACCAGGTATGCGAGATCGGCGAAACATTTTAGCGCAATTTGACGTCATTTTAATTGTGACGTTATCGAGTTCAATTGTGACGGCAGTCAAGGGTATTGTGACGTGCATGAGTCGACGCTGCGTTAAAACGTATGCGCAGATCAAGTAGATCGGGCCTCGTTAAGTAATTACTATCAAATGATAGATTTGGAATTCAGATTTCAATTTTCAATACAACTCAGATATATCAACGTTTAAATATGGAAATGTTTTCTAGGGTGTTATGCTGACAATGTAACGGAGGCATATAGTCCATTTTACAAAATGCGAGGGCTTTCTACTTCGGTTGGATTTTGCCAAGAAATTTGCATGTCTTTCAATTTTACTATATTTGCAATAAAGGTAGGTTACATGTACTCCTTGTCTTAAGGAGGCTCATTACACCCACAGTTTATTCTATATTTCATTTTCACGACTTATGATATCAACTTTTTTGTGATTTTAGTCAGATTTAAAATTTTTAATTTCAAGTTTATTATTACTAGAATTGCAGACATTCAGTATCAAAGGATGGACATTTTCTTTAGACATGTCCACATATTGAAAAAACAGGTGTACTTCAAAAAACCGGATATTACTTTTATAAGAAAAAAAGTTTTCTTCTAACAATAATTAATGTCAATTTCTTCTTTATTCGTGTATAAATTATTAGGAAAGTGGGCTCTAAAGAGAGAGACAGAGAATGTATTTTAAAAGAAGAGCATACATGTATGAAAAATTGAATGAAGAATGTATAAACGCAATGAAAATTCCAAATTAAAAAATATTTGGTACAAAAAGTCCACTTTCAAGAGCTATCTTTCCTAATTACCCAATACTCAAAACACTAAGGAACGTTGCAACATTACATCTAAGATAAAGATGCAAGCTTTAAATTCCTCGATAAAGCAAGTACATAAACAACAAGAGTACAGCAAATAATGCAAGTAAATTATCTTTTTTTTTATTTCATCAAGGTTGTTGATTTTAACTCGAATTGCTTCCATACAAACACGATAGTGACAGACTTCACTGCTTCGCTATGACATTGCACATTACTTGTTTGGCGCAATTTTTGGCTGTTGCTTTCTTTTTGTTTCTGCTTTAAAACAATCCTGCTTGGTTTATGCATAATGAATCAATTACTTTGTTTTCAATGTTTCATTATTGCATGTTAAGTTTCATGCATGTAAACCCTCTGTTCACTTATAAAACTATTGCTTGAACCTTATAGAATTTCCGTAACAAATGCATTTTATAAGAAAAAAAAATTCTAGCAAAATTGGACAAAAAAAACATTTCAAACTGTCAAATCTATAAAGGAATAATAGGCACTAATATCATTACGAGTTAGTGTCTTTTATTCGTTTATAGATTTGACATACTGTAAGAAATTATCTCTCTTATAAGAGTATCAATGAACCTTAATCTGTTTCTTAAGCGTTTTAAAGATCTGGTTCATATGATAAAGGTACCTGAACAATACGTCCCACGAGAAAAAAAATGGACAAAACAATGGATGTTTAAGTTTTGTGTTGTACGCCATCAAAAAGTGGTGTAAAGAGCCTCCTTCAACAAAATTTTTAAAGGTAGAATTACAACTAAAAAAGAAATATACTGTAATTAGAAGTGACAGATTTAAAAGTAGTAAAAAGATATGATATATATACTTCCTAAAATTATTATTATTTTTATTTCTTTTGTTTTGTTTCATTTCTTTCTTTTCATAATATGCGTTTTGGTTATGCCATTAACTTAAAAATGTATTTTAGGGTAACCTGTGTAGATGCTTAGAAAAACTCCCGACAGAAAGTGCACTTTTTCCTTTATTCTGTAACGCATCTTGTTCGCAACCTGGTACTCGTAATTACAAGCCATATTTTAACGAATGTGGAGGCATTGGAACTTATTCTGTATATATATCTGGTATGTATAAATAAAATTCATTTAAAAATTGTTACAATATAACATTGAAATATTTATGAAGGAATATGTCTTCTCTTACATACATATATGAGTTCAGATCAGTGATTTGATTGTTTATCTTTTAAAGCAAAAACGTATTGTCACCGTTATATATAAACAACGGATGATTTTTTAAAATATTTTATAGAAACAAGAAATGTCAGAAAACCAGGTATCTTTTGTGTCGCTATACAGTGTTCAGAAGCTTCAAACAATTCATTTTATTTTGAGGAATCTTGCTCTCAATCACACCCTCCAATATGTCAAAAGGCAGATGGTATTTATTTAACCACAATTTTACTGTATTTCAAAACTATTCCCACTGAAATGTGGATAAAATATTGCTGAGTTGGATTTAAATAGTAATTATCTAATCTAAACTATTTCTAAAATTATCTTTTGTTGTGTATTTCATCGAAAGGGACAAGCAATTCCGGCACCTGGTCAGAGACAATGGAGATTTGTAAGTCAATGCCTCAGTCATCCTATCTCCTAGGGGAAGTATTTTTGTATGACGTCAACATGTCCTGCAATTTAACAGGCGAAAAACTATTTAACAAATCTTGGATTGGCGTGGCAAATGAAGTATACTTTGGAAATGATCGAGGCAAGTAAAAAAATGAAATGAACAAGTTTAAGCTGCCACGAACTAAGTTTGCATCAACTTAAATCACCAAACATGCAAGGTTCGGTAATCGGTGAAAGCTCACATATACTTGAACTACGTCACCTCATTAAGGACATACGTAACGCTCCTACATTTAACCTTCTGATTACTTTTCAAGATTTTTTTTATTAAGGGTTATAGTGCCTTCCGATATTCGTCGACCAAAATAAAGCATGCATTACCAAGGGTATTAAACGATACCAAGTGATACAAATTCTGTAGTAATTCAGAGAAAAATCCACAAAAATCACTTAACATATATTCTAATTGTTGTTTTGTTTATCCAAACTTGTTTAAGAATAAGTGTAGGGTAGACTTTACTTTACCGGTCCCCAGATCCGCAAGATCCTTACACTCAGTGGAACATGACGTACTGTAACATTTACGTCACTCAACTAATAAGTGTAACATTTGCACACTATACGACTAATAAGGGTTAGTCTTGCATCCACCTGAGAGATTAGGGTTAGTCCTTGCACTAATATTCGACTGATTTGGGTTAGTCTCGCATCCATCCGAGTGATTAAGGTTGGTCCTCGCACATTATTCGAATGATTAGGGATAGTCTAGCATCTGCCTGGGAGATTTTGTCTAAACTTCTTAGTCCTTACTTACCATCCGCTTGATTAGTTTAGTGACTCGTTCTCTTAAATAAGTTAATAAATCAGTTGTTTTTGTTATTTTTCTAAGGTCATAATCCAGCTTCAACGATATTTCGTTTGCTTGTTTGGATTGAAAGATATGACACTAAGCATGCGTCGCACGTGCTTCGTTCAGAATTATTCTTTGTCGAATTTTTTTCAGTTCCTTTTAATATCGCAATTCTTCAACTCCAGAGAAAAAAATAAGAAAGTTCAAATTACCTTGTGTATGTCCTTATTCATTTATGGTGACTATTAAAGTGACTTAGACGAACGCTCAGTTATTGCAATAAAAACTGGGTTAAAAATTAATCAGGTCAGATAAATAAAATGTTTGAGATCTACCCACAACTCTTGCCAGGAAAACAATGAGGAGTACTTATCACAAAGCATTTGCGAACTGATACAAAAACACTCTATTTTATCGTTCACATTACGATGCGCGTTATCTCTCTTGTTAACACAAGCAAAGCATGTGCACTACAAAGAACTGGGTACGGTATGTATAACGAGGCGGCCCTGTGTCTAAATTTGATTGAAGTTTTTTACAAACATGCCCACAATGTGTCCTTTCAAAATCATTTCATTTTTTGGAATAATCTCATACCGTTTTTTCGCCAGAGGTTTGGGAAAATGGTGCATTTTTTTCAGTAATTACAACTTTTGACGTATCGACGTCATCACGACGTTACTGATCTTAACGTTACGTTAAATAAAATCTGTAATTTCTTTTAACCGAAAAATATTTACTAAACCTGCTAATATTCCAGAAAACCCAATTTGAACTTCCTTTCAATTCATCGTATATCGATGATAGTTTGAAATAGTTTAATAAATTTCAGAAATATAAAAAAATTTAAAAAAACGATTGTACCAGACAAGCTACGAAACTTGATTCATCCAAATGAAATGAGGTGAGTACTTTAAAGTATTGTTCAATGAAAAAGCTATTAACAGAACTTTCTTTTCCGATGCGAACAAATGGCGGCGCTATCAATGTCGGTTTTTTAAAAGTATTGATTACTCAGTCCCTATTTCGGGGTTATATGATATGCCTTTTTTAAATTTTCTTTGATTTTCGATTTTTTACCCCCGCTTGAAAAGTGGGAGGATATATAGTGATCGGGGTGTCCTTTCGTCTATTGGGCTTTGGGGTACCTCTCTTTTATGTTTTGCCGTTAAAAACCCAAAATATGGGTCGGATCAAAAAGTGAAATAAAAGGTACACAATTGCAATATGTTATGAAGATTCAGTGAAAGTTTCATTGAAGTTCACTCAGTGGTATAAAAAGAGTTGCGGATAAGAGATGAGTACCCCAGAGCGTAACAGACAGACGGACTTAAAGCTGGACGGACGTATAGACATACAGATGACTATACTCGTATACCCTCCTGATTTTCAATCGAGGGTATAAAGACTAAAAAACACACGAATTTTCGGGAATGGATCACAGAATTTAATAGTACAATTTAGTAGTACTGTCATACTGGTATAATTTTCTAAAACTTGTAGAAATAAATATACAACATTAAAATATCATGTAACTTTAGAGTATGATGTAGATGGTTTATCAACGTAATTTAAGCTATGGAAGTCTGTGCGTTTTGTTTTCAAAGCATTGATGTTGGCTGTAAACGATCGATCAACGATCAGAGTCGAGTGGAGATCAACAGAAAATAGGAAAGGACTATCTCTACTTTGAAATCAAATTCTTTATATAAACTTGTTCAGTTGTAGGTATTATAATACATGCTGATAATTAGTGACCCCCCCTCCCCCCCCCCCCACATACACACTTCTTCATATTTTTCCAATTTAAATGCAGAAAAAATGCAAATAATCGTCATGCAGAATAACAAATCACTTGCATTTTAAAAAAAAATTTCAAAATTCATTTCACGTCCCTTTTCTTTATTAATCTTTCTATACGCTACATATTGAGACACTTTCGCAGTTCTGTTTCTAATCTATGAAAATTGATATTACTTGTGACTTGTGGGCATCGTCACTACGGCCTGCTTTTTTGGGAGTTGAACTATGTTCAGACTCCTCCCTAGGGCGTCACGCGGTTTCTAGCGCAGTAATTTTACAATGAATTATATAGCGGCCGTCGTGTTGTTTCTGTGTCGGACAATTTACTCCCCTGTGATATTCAATACAAACTCGTACCAGTCTATATAAACTCGAAGAAACTTCCGAAAAAAATAGTCCATCTCATTTTTCTGAATTAATCTAATTTTCATAAATGATTTGAAAGTAAATGAAAAAGAATTTTATTTTACTTAATTTGAATAGCATATTTTTGTCATCTCTCTTGAGTAATTTTTGATTTCCGTATGAAAAAAAGTCCCCGTTTTGCGTCATTTATCATTCGGCAATCCTCAGCTGACTCCACTACGCTCCATTACAAAAAATGCGAGGTCTTCCAAGGAGCAACAACTGGTTTAACTGGTTTGACAGTGACGCGATTGTCTAGATATAGAGATGTAAACAAAGATGTAAGGTCAATGGAACGCCAAGGTTTAACCCAACTTCTTTCAATTTGTTTCAGCAATAAAGAGACAGAACAACGTTTCTTTAAAAAAAATACTGCAGAAAATATCACTGTTAGACATTTATTTGCTCTAACAAGTAAAATGATCTGTTAGTCTGGAAAATTTTTGTCAGACCAGATACATGCAACTCATATTTTTTACGTTGGTAAAGGGAAAAATAATAGCATTAAAGTTTGTTGAAATTCGATTTCACAATTTCAAATAACATTACCTTTGCTTCCTTAATTTCATGAATTTATCAGCATTCGGTTGGTCACGTGTACAACACCAAATCTGAACTTGAAAAATGTATGTACTCAGTATCACCTTATAAAATGTATCATTTGATTTTATTAAGTAATTAAAACAGTTAAAATTAATGAATACATGCGGATGCACGGACACAATGGTATAATAATCCCAATGATCGATCTGTGAGAAAGATCGTTCCTCATGATAACAACTGTTTTTTTTTCTTGTAGTAGCTCGTTAAACTATGTCTGATTTTTAATTACATTTGAATCAAATCAAAATCACAAACTTTAAGTGTCACTCGCGTGGCGCAGTTGGGAAAATAGTTTGCTCTGAAGATTCAAAATAAGGTGTTAATTGATCCTTACGTCGCAGGTTCGAATCCTGTGGGATGCATTTGGAGATAAACTCTTTTGATGAGATTATATAAACCGAAATCCCATGTCGCAGTATGTGCTTGCACAAAACGATCTCTCAATGTTCAATGGTTTTGAGTGCCGTGATAGGTAAAAATTTGTAGATTTACATGTAGCTAGCTCCATCGACAAGTGGTAGTGTCTCAACATGATTGAAAAATTATCGAACGTAAAACAAACAAAATGTAAAGTATTCAGATACTTACTTTTATATAGAAATTACTTGAAATGAAATTTAAAATTATGGAATAACAAAACTTTACGATTAAGTAACATGTATAAAAATAGATAAATTTGATAAAATAGATAAGCACGGAGTTCTATAAAAATTAATTATTGTGTCTGAAAAGAATTATTCATACCCAAAAGAGAATAGCAAATACTTGTTTTAATCAGAGGAAGAAAAATGACAATCCATTGTCTGGTGATGGTAACACCGAATATAAAGAGTGTTTGTTTGTTTCTTGGGACCAAATATATTGTACACATTCTAAAGAGAGTAGGGGGCATTTTGATTCAAATGCTTCAGAAATATAAGGGTAGTGTTTGAGTTTAAGTAATAAAAGGTACTGAAAGAAGTTTGAAACCTACCCACAAAATAGTATTTTCGAGTTTGGAAAAACTATTTTTTGGTGGTGGGGGTTGTTTATTTGGTTTGGTCACATTGTTGAGGTAAGAATTAGAAAGAATAAATCCAGAACTAAACTTAACTGTTCTTGCGCAATAAATATACAATTTTTTCAATGGATGGCACTGTAGCTCTCCGGTCTGTCAACATCTTTTTTTCGGAGAGCTACAGTTCTGCGGCTAATTTAAGAGCAGTCCCATGATCTTGGCTATTCAAATGCAATAAAAATTATCTTTAATATTTCGTGTTGTATCTGAAAGCATGAAACTGTTCCTATACTTACTGTGAGATCTTTCAGATAACAATGTTCAACTCCCATGAGTACGTTCAGTACTTAGATTTTTTTTACAGAGTTTGGTTTGCCATTCCCGGGTTAGGATTTAAGGCGAGATTGTGTTTCTAACTAGATAAGTTTATTTGAAAGTTGTTTTAAAGACAGATGATACAAACAATTTTTTTCTTTGAAATAGATTAAATATCATGTCACAAGTTTAGAAAAGTGGATGGTTCTTAAAAATTTTTCTCTGAAGAACTAGGAAATGAAATAGACTTGGAAAATATTAGTAATATTTCAATGAAAAACCGAATATAGACAAAACACATTCAGTAAAGGTTTACAGGTGAAAATAAATTTCAGAATATGTTATCTTGGCACTAAAAGTGTAATTTAAACCTTAGAAAAATATAGCAAGCCAGCTGAATTTATAGAGGAAGATCAAAATGACAAAAAATTAGCAATATCACATAGGCTGATTTTTAAAATTTAGCTTTTCCTAATAAAATTCACCTGGCTTGGTATATTTTTCTAAGGTTTATATTACACTTTTAGCGCCAAGATAACATATTCTGAAATTTATTTTCACCTGTAAACCTTTACTAAATGTGATTTGTCTTTATTTGTTTTTTCATTGAAATATAACTAATATTTTCCAAGTCTTTTTCATATTCCAGTTCTTAGGAGAAAAAATTCAAAGAATCATCCACATTTCTAAACTTATGACATGATATTAAATCTTTTTCAAAGAAAAAATTTGTTTGTATCATCTGTCCTTAATGAAAAATTCTTTTAAAATATACGTAACAAATGACATGTATTACGTGACTATACAACTTTACTTAGACAAAAACTGATAAAGCATAGACAATTATTTTGCTTCACAATACATCCTTAATATAAATGTTTATGTATATTTGATTGATTTCAGTGACAATAATAATTTTCTGGAACGAATAATCATCATAGAAGGACGTTGATATCTTCAAAATTCAGATCAGATGTGTACCATTTTTCCTAAAGTGATAGTGTACTGGACACCTCACCCACCTTCCCAGCCTTGATGAATGTCAATTTTTATCAATATTTATTTCCCATGACATATTTAATATATTATTTCATGGATAATTTGCTTGAAATTCTTTTAGATCTTAGCAATATTTTGTCTGATACATTCGTTTTAACAAAAATAATTTTTAAAAGCAATTTTATGTCTTATAAATGTCTTAATTAATTTCTGAAAAGTCCTAATCGAGCTAAATGCATCGACTGTACCTAGCGGAAGGGGGAAAAGCAGTGTCTTTTGTCCAGAAATAATGCATGAATATGCGTCTTTTCATTTCTAAAATAACGGATTCATAATTATATTAATATGTTAAAATTGCCTTCACTTTTCTGTATAAAGAAAAGTTAATTACAATTGCCATGGGAACATTTCGTAGTAATTGCCGAAAACGCTCACAACTTTAACCTTACAAAACTTTGCCAAATAATATTTTTTTCATTATCTAAAGTTCTTTGTAAACTACAGTTGCGGATACAGGAATTTAATAACGGGGAAGGGGTCTTATATATTGAAGACAGGGTGTCTGGAGCTGCGTTGAAGCCCCACGGGGGTTGAGGGCACAATCCGGGTTGGGTTCGGGGAACGAATTACTACTAATATAAATGTGTTTCCCACTTTATTTTAGAAAACCAATCATGACCTTGCAGGAATTTAAGAATACATAGGTACATGTTTGGCAGTAAAATAATATTTCGGAATAACTCGTACCATACATGTAGACCTTCATGTTTGTGTTTAATGCTAGTGACAAAAAAATAAAATAAAAATAAAGCATTATATACTAAACTGTACAAAACTGAAGTTAAATGCTTGTTTTACTAATTACAAACATTTTTTTTAAATCAAACGGGAGTGGGGGGACGCCTGGCGCATCGGCCCTTGATCCGCCTTTGAATTGCATGTTTATAGTTTAAACCTGTCTTGAAAACACTGATGTCAACAATCTGATCAGCATGATAAACGTGTAACCTAAATCATACTCAAGAAAGCTGTATGATAATTTTCAATAGATCGTCTTAAAAAAAAAGATTTTTTTTCTTGAACAGTAAAGTCAATATCATGTCCATTATGAAGGAGACGCTCGTTTTAATTAGAGGTACATGCATAAATGTAAATTAATCCTCTGAACCATACTAACTTATGTCGTTATAACTGTTTTTCACTGCATTTATTGATTGGAAATTTTTCATATTAATTCTTTTAATATGGAAGACTAAAGAATGTGGATGTTCAATATGATGGCTCATTATGACGTCATGTTTTTCAATATATTGCGTCATTAAATTACATGTAATGTCCCTTGGTAAATTTTATGGAGAAAAGTTTATGTGGTTTTCATAACATAGAGATACAGACTTAAATAATATTTTTTTGTAAAAGTATAGATTAGATAATAACACTTTTAGATTCAAACTTAAACAATTAATTTCTTTATATGTATAGACTTTATTATGGAGGAAAAATAACATATATCCGAAAAAGAAATATTTTCAACTGCAATTTTTCGTAAAAAACGAACGTGGCCGCACTTTTGTACAGTAATTTTTTTTTCTTTCATATTAGAAACCAAAGTATACTTGTTCTTTCTGCGAAGTTTTGCATATATATTCGAATGCGGCCACGTCGAAATTTAGACTTGAAGAGGAGGAAAAAGTCCAAAATAGGTGAATTCCGGAATATTAGACCGGTTTTGAACGTTATATACACAAAAGGTCACGTGAGTTAAGGAAAATGTTGATACCAATTTTTCACAAAGGGGGACCTTAGCAATAAATTGACACAGTTCAAAATATGCTATCGTGCGTTTAATTTTTGCCGATTTTACAGGGCCGCCTCAGAATACATACCGTACCCAGTTCTTTAGCTTTTTTTAGGTGAACTTCTATAAATTGTCCAAAAATAAACCAAAATGTCAATTCTTTATTCCCATAGTAGAAATATATTTTTAAAAATATTTCACACTCTGTTACTAAAGGTCTTGCAATTGGAGAAGAAGAAAAAGACTTTTTTCATCAATGTCAGCTATGTACGTACGTTAATGGTACTTACAGATATTGTACCCTCATGGGATGCAAAGAAACAGAAAAGGTCTCCTTGATCTGTGTGCAGGTAAATTTCATTAAAGCAAATGGTTGATTCCAATATCTGAAAATTGAGGTGGCAATCTTATACAAAATTGTCATTCGATTATCAATCGATTTTAGCAGGTAAGATACAAATTTGAAGTTTTTTTTTATTTCAAATCTCTCTAAAATATCCCGACTTATATGTAGCTATTAAAATATTATTTACATTTTTAAAAAAAAATTATTTTGTCTCCTAATTAATGAAACAACGAATTTTGGACGCGTTTAAGGACAGATGATACAAACAATTTTTATTTCTTTGGAAGAGACTTAATATCATGTCAAAAGTTTAGAAAAGTGGATAATTCTAGGAATTTTTCTTCCAAGAGGTGAAAAATGAAGTAGCCTTGGAAAATATAGTAATATAGTAATATTTCAATAAAAATCAAATATAGACAAATTACACTCAGTAAAGGTTTACAAATGAACACAAATTTTAGAATATGTTATCTTGGTGCTAAAAGTGTAATATAAACTTAAGAAAATTATACCAAGCCAGGTAAATTTTATGAGAAAAAGCAAAATGAGAAATCAGCAATATTATATAGGCTGATTTTTACCATTTTGCTTTTCCTGATAAAATTCATCTGGCTTTGTATATTTTTCTAAAGTTTATATTACATTTTTAGCACCAATGAAACATATTCTTTTTTTTTTTCATCTGTAAACCTTTACTTAGTCTGTTTTGTCCATATTTGTAATTTATTGAAATATTACTGATATGTCCAAAGTCTTTTTTTTCATTTTCCAGTTCTTAGGAGAAAAAACTCTAAGAATTATCAACTTTTCTAACTTGTGACATGATATTAAGTCTCCTCCAAAGAAAAAAAAATGTTTTTGTCATCTGTTCTTTAATTGCCACATACTTGAACTCTCACATAGTAAATTTTATTCTACATATCGAAGAAAAGTTGAAATTGTGTTGTTTATTAATCAACAAAATTAAGTTTAGAAACCTGCTATTTTTAAGCCAAACAAACTCACAAGCATTGTATATCCGTGCTTAATGATGAGTGCAGAATTTAAGAAATCTAACAAACCCACTGACGTAAATTAATTTTAAAAGGACACGAGTTCTGTTAATTGTTACAGCTTATGTTTCATCAGGTTTGTACAATTTGTTACTCTGAACACATCACTGAGCACGAACTGACAATACCAGTGTGTCATTTTTGCTTTCTCACATTTAAACTCTGAGTTGTTATACGCCCGAATCGATAGATTCGGAGCGTATATTCAAGGTATCACACCGGTAATTGTTTTCAATATATAATTCTATATAGAATAAAAAAAATCGTTAAAAATCATTTATTTGTTTACATGAAAAAATATTTAGTACATGTAGGAGGTGTTAAACATTTCCAGTCACATTAGCTGACACCAAAAAACAGGGTACTTACACTGCATTTTCGGACTTTTTCCATCTGCAAACAGGGCTACCCTCAAATCCACGTGTTTTCATTGTGTTTATAAGCACCTCGAGTGCATCACAGGAAGTAGCCTCCTATGCCCTAAAAAAAAGTTCCTGTCAAAAACCTTTATTTATTCGCAAAGTACATAATATTTACTAGGCACAGGTACCAAAGCTGTAAAAATGGCTTGGAAGAAAATAGAAAAAAGTCTCAAAAGAAAAGAAAATTAATTTTATATATATGGACCTACATTTGACTAAGTTCATTTTGATTGGTCAAGTACCGGTGTGATACCTATATTGTTTTCGTCCTGTTTATCTGTTTGTCTGTCTGTTTGACTGTTTGACTGTCTGTTGTCAATTTTAACCTTCGCCATAACTTTTGAACCGTGTGAGATTGAGAGTTCTTATTTTGTATGCATACATGTACTCCACTAATTCTAACACTTTCAACTGACACCAAGGACAATGACCTTGTGGCCTTGGCTGTGATCTCTATGATAAAAATATAGTATTTTCGAACTTTGGGCATTACTTTTGAACCTTACGAGATAGAGTCTTTATAATTTGTATGCATATTCCATAACTAGATGCTTACAAATTAAACCGAAGACAATAACTGTGTGACCTTGACTGTGAAAACAGAAAACAGAAGAATTACATTAGATGACAAATTAAAGTCCTTGGGGAATTTAAGTCAAATCTTTTGATACGTTTTTTTTTTTCAATTTAAAATGTCCATTGTCAAGAAAATGCTTCTAAATCAATTATAACATAATATATGTTTCTGAAAATGGAAACTAGAAGGCATAACTGCATAGTTCTGATCATTTAAAAAAACTACCACGCATTGAGAATTAGTCATTTTAACAAATATTAAATAAATTTCTCGGACTAGCTTAGCTTAAAAAAAGGAACTAGAGAAACTCTATTTCTATTTTTTCCAGAAAATAAATTACCAGTGAAATTGGGAGAAATGTTGATTATAATGTTGTTATTATAAATACACTCCCAATTGACTTCAAAATACATTTTTAACACTTAATAAAATGATATGAATTTAACTTTTGTTCTCAATTCCAGTCAAATAAGGACGACACACATCATATCAAATAGATGAAAATATTAATTAGTTTTCAATTCATGCCTGAATAATCCTTACATAGATATTATGCCTAGTATATATATATATATGTTTAAAATTCTGTTTTCGTTTAAGAAAAAATACCTTGAGTAAAAATATTTATTGTTACTGAAAATAATTACAAACACGGCAAATGCACGCAGAGGATTCTTGCGTGATTATTAATCTTGAATAAAAGAAAAAAAATAAAATAAAAGATATACACTATAATTATATACTTGGTCATTGAATATTAACTAGGGTCGTGGTTCCGTAAATCAAAAATAAGAAATGCTATAAGGAAGAGAAGGTTATGTACAAGAAGAATTATCTGTCTATTCACTTTCAATCTTATTCTATTCTCATATTATTGGATTTTGAACACCTCAGTGCTTCTCAGTATGTCCTCAGTAGCCTCAGAAAAAACCTCAGTATCACTCAGTATCAGCTCCGTTCCCTCAGAAGCACCTCAGTGCCCCTCAGTACTTCAACAGTATCAACAGTGCAAACCTCAGTGCTCCTCAGTAGCACAACAGGATGCACAGTCAAAACCTCAGTTCATCTCAGGAATACCTCAGAATCTCAGTAGTAGCCTCAGTACCACTCAGGGTTTTCTCAGTACAACTCAGTACTTCCTCAGGGTTTTGTTGGATTCTCAGGGTCTTTTTAATACAGTAGTATATACGCTAAAAATTGCTTTTTTCGAACTTATTTGCCGCCGGGCGCACAGTGTTTCACAAATTCATCTTGTTGAATTATATTTTTGACAAATGTTTCATTAATAGACAACAAATTATTTTTTTTTTCATTCATGTTGATTAAAAATATCCAATTTCAATTCACAAGCCGAAAAAAGATATAAAATATAAAGATACAAAAAATTTATGACATATCCCACAAATTTATTTCATTGCCACCGTCATTATTACATGTACTAAGTAATATCCAATACACAAAGTATAAAGATAACGAGCTGTAATCAAGTTTAAAAGTACATTTGAAAGGAATGCATGATTGTATTGATGTTTCAGTATATCATGAATTTGTTTTGCTGCATTTGTATCGTAATTCAAATACTTAAATACTGTATTAAGAAGATTATTACATATATTTCAGAAAAAAGTATGCTATTCAATCTTTTCAATGACCACAATTTTTGATAAAAATGATATAAATAATTTTACCATGATTTTCAAATCATTTAAAAGAATATATTATTAACACACATCTACATGTGTAAATAACATATGAACATTTAAAAATCAAGTAATAATGAAATGTTTTTACAATGCAATTATATTGAAATAATTTCAATCAAAGTATGAATTTCGAGTAACAATATAATTATAATATCCTTAGGTTTTTTTTTTGGGGGGGGGAGGGGGGGGGAGGGGCATTATATATCACAATGGCAATAATTGTTCCTACCATCCAACCAATACAGATCAAGGGCAAGGAAAATACTGATATTTAAAAAAATATCACAGAAGTTAGAACAGGTACACAGTACCAATAGAGATGGGATAAGCATTTAATGACTAGTCACATCTGCCATTAACTCTTAGACTTGATCTTGCAAATGCAAAAAAAAAAAAAAAATCTGTCGACTGTTTAGTTGCATTCAAACACGTGAAACGAAAACATGTTTTCAAGTTCGTTTTAAGAATAAATGAAAATAGTTGCATCTATATCATACATTGACAAATTTGGATGTTTACCTGTTGAGGACAGATGATATAATCGAAAAATGGATGCCTGGCTTGGTATCTATTTTAAGGCTTAATTTCATTGAAAATTATGCAAATAATAACTTTCTACAATGTAAAGAAACTGATGTAAATCTTCTATGATGTTCAAAATTCTACATCTCTGAAACAGTCCTTATTTATCCTTAAAAGTATTTTTCACTTCAAATCCCATTTTTGTTAAAAAAAAAAATTGAATTAAGAAATAACTGTCAAATTTTTCGATTTCATTATTTGTCAATCAATCAGTTTGCGCGAAAATTTGAATAAACGCAGATACAATCAGTTGAACATGAAACATGAAAAAAACCCAGCAAATACAATCTTAGAGTTTTTCATTAATTTTGATTGTATATGATGGTATGTGTTCTGCAAAATATTGTAAACAGATGGATCAAGACACAGAAAGTGAATCAACTTCCGGGTCAACAGCTATGGTACGTACATCAACAGTTGATTCTAGCCCAGAAAAATCGAAACTTACATCAGATTCAACACAGTCAGTTCAAACCATAATACAAGCAACAGAAAGAGCATTTACGGGAAAACAAAACACAACAACTGATTCTATGGTAGGTAACTTTTTTCTACTTAAACAGACATTGTCAATATAAAACTACAATGCCTATTACAACCAACATCATTGTCATTAGCGAGTTGTAGATTAGATTATAAGCTAAATTTAGCAATTCACTCATTTACAGCGTGAATAATTCCTAAGCCTTAAAAAAATTATAGTGTTTTTTTTTATATGAGCATGTGTCTTGTTTATAAACAGATGGATCAATACAAAGATAAAAAATCGTCATCGCTGCCAACAGATATGGTTCGTACATCAATTATGCAAGACAAATCACAACCAACATCAAAATCAACACAGACTTCAACAACTCAGAGCATGAAAGTAACATCTGAAAGTTCATCTTCTGGAAAACCAAACACTACAACCGTCTCTATGACATATTCTTTAACTAATACAACAGACATTATAGAAACCATAACGCCAATTCCAACAAGAGAGAGAACAACTCTAGTAGGAATGCATTCAAATGGTAACTTGGCAGATATAAGCAAAGATTACATGATTTAAATTTTGTCTTTTTAATACGTTTATGATTTTAAAAGAAAATGTTAAATATTAAAAGATAACGATGAGGCATCTAAAACCACTATTCCCATTTCCATTGCTGCTGTTATTGGGGGAATTTTCCTGGTCCTTATTTTCATATATTTGTGGTGAGTAAACAGAAATCTCTTCTTAGAACATTTAAGAATTTTAATTTTATAAATTTCATATTATTCGTTATATGTTTGAATTTTATTATAAATGCATATTTTGAATAAAAATAATATTTAATATATATTCCCAGTAACTTTTTTGTTGTTTATTTTTTTTCCTGCATTACTTTATACCTAGTACATTCTTTTTATTTCTTCATATTATATTTCTAGCTATTGGAAGAAGAGACACCAAACCGGCATACAGACAAAGAAATCAAAACACGAACAAATAAAAGTTTCCAATGTTGCAGGGATTGTTAACGCCGCTTATTTTACAATAGAACTGAAGGAACAGGGAATTATATCATCAGATATGGAAGAAAAAATAGAAAATCTGTACACACAAGCCGATAATGAAACATATCACCATCTTCGAGAAAAAGATTCGAGTAAAAAGAAATTTGATAATGAATGTAATTATGACACAACAAAGAACGCCATAGAAAAGACGGAGAAATATATTCATTACAGTGAAGGTACATATGATCGTCTTGGAGATAAAAGATGTAATACAATTGCAGATGATACATATCATCATGCATGTACAGTACAAAAGGATAGGTCCGATTATGACGTCACAGAAGTAAGGAAAAAGTATATACTTGACAGTCCCTATAATCATTTCGAAATTATCCCAAATGAAAATGACACCGAACAGGACATGATCAGCAACCTATCTGAGACACAGAATGAAGAGCATACTTATTTTATACTTGAACAAGACTAAAAAATAATAAAAAAAAACTACGTTCTTTGGATGTTGTTTACACATTTGTATTTGCTTTGAAACAAATCGTTTTAACAGTCTTTTTGTTCTTTTTAACAGTCTTTTTGTTCTTTCATTTGTAACAACAAAAAAAAAATAACGTACATGAATCTAATACTTTTCTTAATTTAACAAAATATATAATTAATGGTATTAAAAGGATGACTTAAATAAAGTAATCTTTTTACCGTATCCCTCATGTTTCAGTGGGTATTAATAATTTGACTATATTTCACTTCTATTCCTTACTGTCAATGTTATTACTTTATAGTATTTAGTACACCGTTTCGATAATCCACTTATCTTTGTGTTGAAATGTTTTGTTACGAAAAGAATAAATAAAGTAAAGCTTTAATAAAAATTTTTTCTTAAAAAAAAGTATAAATAAAATTGGATATGTTTTTCAAAATCAACTATGGTAAGCAATTAAAATCTTAAATATGTATTTTTCGATTTAAGCAAGAGTTATTAACCATTTTTCGCCATTTTGGAGATCAACAAGCATACTTGATTTCTTTATGATACGACCTATTTAAACTTATTATGCAAGGCAATGGTTAACAAAGCCTTCTGTTTTCCTACTGTTATCATTTTAATTAATTTTGACCAACTCTAGTTCTGTTCTACGTTTTTTTTTCTGGTTGTGATACATACTAAATATTTAATAAATAATTTCATTTTAGTGAATCTTACCAAGATACCACTTCCTTCCTTTAAATTAGCTCTGATAACTTGACCAGATGACTTTTTTGTTTACGTTCGAAATTGAACGGTCGTATTCAGAATGTTTCGGGCATACTCGTATACGCAATGCAAACTCAGCTTTCAATAAACCTTCAAGATACTGAAAGCTAAATTTCTCTAGATTTTTGGTAGTATTTTACTATAGACTATTTACCAGCTATGTTATAAATGTAATTACACAAAATGTCGGATCGCCGGACAGCAGGATCCACTACACCCAAAACCGTTTTAGCAAGTAGCATGCTTGGATGGTCATAATCATGCTATCGACACACCAACAAATTAACAAATACATATCTCATATTTTAAAATGTTCTATTTAAAAGTGTTTTTTTAATCAACAGTCAACGATATATTTTCACACTTTTCATGAATTTGTCAATGTGTCTTCATCTAACACCTCCTTCACCAATAAAATCACCACTGTGATGGGATATAAGACTAAGGATTCTTGTCACTGTTAGTAAAGTTCATGATGTCTGAAATTATAAAACTTAATAGGAAGAAACCGTAACAAGTCCGTGTAATTTAAAATTGGGGGTATTTTCAACAGGACTGACCGAATTTATCAACTATCTGCTAGTTACAAGCGTAGACTGAAAAGGGAATGCGGATGTTGTATAATTTTAGTATAAAATGAGATGCCTTGAAATTCCCTATTCAAATTTCCGGATCATGTCAGCTTGACACACAAAATTGTTAACTACGTAACAATTTTTGATTTACACAATGTATAAATTATTGAAAACCATGGTCCTGAAGCAGGAATATCAACAGTCTCCTTTAACCTCATCATATCGTAGTTTTATGGTTGATAAATTGATCCTTTCATTCTACAAAATTTATCAGTCATTCAATTACCGATACCTCATGTCCAGGCAGGCGTTGGCACGATAAAGAACCATAAATGCTCAATGACCTTAAAGAATGAATTCAGTTTAAAATTTGAAGCCCTTCATCGGTGTATCTTGAGCTCACTATATCATTGAGAAACCGTTGAATTGACCTTCAAAAATGCAATCAATCAATCAACCTTGTCCCCCACTCCCTTTCTTGATTTGTTTTAGTAAAGAAGGTTATTTGTTGGAATTCCCATTGGCACCAATTGCGCTCCGTTATTAACAGACTTATTTTTATATTCATATGAAGCAGAATATATGCAAAATCTTATGCGTGAAAAGAAGAAAACACTTGCTGTGGCCTTCAACTCGACATTTAGATATATCCATGACGTATTGTCAATTAACAATGCTAATTTCCATTCCTACGTCGATACGATATATCCTATTGAGCTTGAGATAAAAGATACCACAAAGTCTGACGCCTCTGTTTTATACTTGGATGTTTTAAAGAAAAGACGTTGATGGTACTCTAACAACCAATCTAAATGATAAACATGATGACTTAACTTTTCTATCGTCAACTTCCCTTACTTATGCAGCAATATACCTTCATTTTCTGCATACGGAGTATTTACATGTGTATCTCAGTTGATTCGATACGTAAAAGCATACTCTATGTATGAACAACTTCTAAATCGAGGTAAATTATTGATAAGCAAGTTGATGACACAAGAACATCAGCAAGCAGTCTCGTTTAAAGTCATTACTGTAAATCACTATTTGTTCGCGAGAACTTTATTTTCGCGTAATTACGTGAGACAATGTGCTCGCGAAAATTTCATACTCGCGTTTAATAGTATTCCTTAACATTATATAGAGCAATGACCACAGTTCGTGAAAATTTTGTCTAGCTAATAAAGAGTCAATAACTATCTCGCAAAAATAAGGTGTCGGAAAATTAAGCGATCTACAGTATATCGTAAGTTTCTATGGTCTATACAATGACCTTGTCAACAGATACAATTTATCATTGAGTCAAATGCTGATGGGAGTTTTTCATACTAATTGTTAGACCAGTATTTATAGTTACACTGAATGAACGACGGATTTTCCCGTTTTTTCCAATTACGACAAGGAGAACACGGCGGATGTGACCGATCAGCATGGGACGATCACTTTTCCATGGCACCTGATCCCACCTCTATTGTTTCGAAGGTCCGTGGTTGCTTTGCTCATAATTTGTATTGCTTTCTGGACTTTGAGATAGAATACTAGTACTGTTCGCTATCTCCATAGCTTTCTTAAATAATGATTAAGGAAGGGTATACTGAGTCTCCAATTTTCCGATTAAATTACGTCTGAATAAATCAAACATAAAAAAAAAACTTTTGGGATCATTTGAAATTTGATCTTTGTGTTACGTGTAAATTTAATTAAATTGAATAGAGATGTAGTGATATTTTTACTCTACGTTTTTTTTTTCCAATATGATTGGAAAAAAATAAATGTGTTATTGTCATCATTCATTTCTACCGAAATTGCAGTTTACTGATTCCGACTTTGCATGCAGCTGATCTCAATTTATTGAAAAGTTGACAAAAAATATTTGATGAGAGATATAACTTCATATTAGAAAAATATAATTTAAACCGATCCGATAATTCATTCTGCAAATTCCTTAATCAGTCGTTTTATTCACATCTTGCATCCATACCAAATTTCGAACACTTTGAATGTCTCAAAATTTCACTTGTTTTCTTTCCCATGATTCGAAAAAAGGTTTTTAAAAAGTAATTTCCGGCCTAAATAAGGTTTTGACCACAGTTATTTCATTTATGCCTTCCTGTTTCATCGTGACCGAAATGTTTTGCTCAGTAATTGCTCATTTACCCTATAATGAAGTAGCAAAAAGACACAACACAAGACTGTATTTAAAAGTTTACTCAAATTGAGATAAAAAATTTTAAAATCATAAAACGTGTAAAATACATACATGTAAAATCCAAAACTATGATATAAGATTACATAATCAACTATAACTAAAAAGACAACAAAAAATCATGCAAAAACCTTTCAAGGTAACATACACATAATCTCCATAATGCAAAAATACAAAGTTAGCTTGGCCTTGTAAGGGGTCAACATCCCACCAAGAAAGAAGGCACTTTCCTACCCCATCGAGGCCAAGCATTGGCAAAAAATCAAATACATGAAATATAAAAACAAAGGAGACAAGAATTTATATCCTCCAGATCTGATATCAGTATATACAAAATGTATCCTATTTCATTGATCTTTTATAGATCTCATGCACATGCAAACACGATAAAACACCCAGTCCAGTTCAAAATACCCATAATGTAGAGCAGGGCTCTCAAAGATCATCAGTCAATTTTAGTTTACATCTGCTAAATTTCCTGTCTCTGATTCAAAGATTTCCATCAGTAGTATTTCCCAGTTCAAGGGAACCTACATGTAGTTACAAATTCTCCCACAATCAAATTTCCGTGTCACACATGAAAGACTGTTTTAACATGTGAATGCATATCTGTTTGGAAGCAAAGGTACATGTATATTTCTTTTTAAAATTTTATTTAGTCCATGTGTGTCTAATTGTCTCTCTGTCCGTCTAGCTACATGTATCTGATTACCAGTCCGTCCGAATGCTTTTCTACACAATTTCCTGAAAAGTCTGAAAATATTTGCTGATTATTGATATGTCAATGTAATATCTAGCGTTACAGAACAAGTTATAATTTTGCTGTGATTATATTTTTTACGAAATGCTAACTTTCTTAATTTTAAAGAGATTCTAATGTGGTTTTTTTTAATTTAAGCGGTAGTTGATTTTTAGAATATTTTTGCTATGTAAGTCTAAAATATAGAGAACTGCTTTAAAATCACTGAAAAGTTGAAATTTTAAACTTTGTTTGGTTTAAAGCATGAAAATTGACAGTGTAACCATTCGAGTGTAAAAGATTCTGTTTATTATGTTTATTTTTGTTAATACACTGTACTTATGATTCAGAAAAATAACTAAAACCTATAATTCTGACGTAGTTTATCTCCTATCCTGTACACAAGATATCTTTAAAATCAAACGCAACAATATATAACCTATGCATTTTAAAGAATTGCCCAAAAAACATTTGATTCAAACACATTTGCAAGAAATATTAAAATGACTTATCAATTTATCCACTAAATATTTTCCTTTATTTCTTATGAAGACCATTGTCACTAATCAGAGCATGAACAACTCTAAGCAGGCCGCGTGCGTAGATGCCTTGAACAATGTCTGTTCCATCACTTATGTATAGAATGACATTCATTCTAAAAAAAATATTTCAACAAATCTAATTTAAATTTTAATAATTTATAATGCA